CCTCAGACACACAGCACCCCCACACACACAAACACATACACTGCACCCTTCAATGCAGTATGTGTGTGTGTATTCATCGGTCTGTGTGTGCATGTATTCAGCAGTCTGTGTGTGTGTGTTCAGCAGCCTGTGTGTGTTCTGCAGTCTGTGTGTGTGTGTGTGTATGTATTCAGCAGTCTGTGTGTACTCAGCAGTGTGTGTATGTATTCAGTAGTCTGTGTGTGTGTATTTAGCATTCTGTCTGTATGTGTATTCAGCAGTGTGTGTGTTTATTCAGCAGTCTGTGTGTGTGTGTGTGTGTGTTCAGCAGTCTGTTCGTGTATGTATTCAGTAGTCTGTGTGTACTCAGCAGTGTGTGTATTCAGTGGACTGTGTGTGTGTATGTATTCAGCAGTCTGTGTGTATGTATTCAGCAGTCTGTGTGTGAGTGCTCAGCAGTCTGTGTGTGTATTCAGCAGTCTGTCTGTGTATGTATTGCATTTGTTGGAGATACTAATAAATATAAGCTTAATTTTATATATTTATATCATTATTTTTAATTTTATGGCAGGACAGGAGGCTTCATATTTGCTTTACCTTCTTTACTGAAACCTCCAGCAGCAAAGAAACAGTTAACAGAACTTTTCAAAACAACCAATCAGAACAAAGCAACAGTAGTATAAAACCCCTAAGCAGGCTCTTCCACTTCCTCTTTCTTTGCTGCTGCCTCCAGGTGAGCACTCACCAACTCAGAGTTGTCTCTGCTCTTGGTTGTTGTTTTATTCTACATGCTGCTTGTTTATTTAAACAGGCTATTTAATCAGTCTATGTGTTAGGTTTGTTCAGGCAGCTTAATTGCTGGTTTTATTTAGGCAGTCTATTGCTGTGTTTAGCTAGGCAGTCTATTGCTGGGTTTATCTAGGCAGTCTATTGCTGTGTTTATCTAGGCAGTCTATTGCTGTGTTTAGCTAGGCAGTCTATTGCTGTGTTTAGCTAGGCAGTCTATTGCTGTGTTTAGCTAGGCAGTCTATTGCTGGGTTTAGCTAGGCAGTCTATTGCTGTGTTTAGCTAGGCAGTCTATTGCTGTGTTTATCTAGGCAGTCTATTGCTGGGTTTAGCTAGGCAGTCTATTGCTGTGTTTAGCTAGGCAGTCTATTGCTGGGTTTAGCTAGGCAGTCTATTCTGTGTTATTTCCTATACCACTTCATGCTATGTAGCTGCTGTATCACTTGTTAACATCTGTTGCTGTATTTAGGCCATTTATCTGACAGATTCTGTATACTGCTCATTGATTTATTGTTATTCTGGGTTACTTTATTCTGTTTTCTCACTCTGCTGTATGGGGAATGGGTGCCCCTGCTATGATGCTTTGGCTCTGCCTGTAATCTGTTCCCCCTCCCCGGGTTCCCCTGCTGGGCTCTGTCCCCATACCCTTCTCCCTTATTGCCCACCTGCTCCCCGTGGCCCCTGGCCGCTTACTGAGCAGCTTTTTTCTACCGTGGCACGATCACCACGCGGTAGGCCGCGCTCTGTTTTTGCAGCCACAGCAGCCATTTTGTTGGAGCTGCGGCGGCCATTTTTCAGAGCCACATGGACTCTGTGCGTTGCAAACAGCCAGGTCTCACCCAAGAACTGGCCTGCTGGCCATGTGGCCACCCTCCCCTCTCCCTATATCAGGGGGGATAGCCCAGTATTTCAGCTATCCCTCTACTTACTGTGCCTGTCTCACATGCTGCATATGTAACAGATCCTGGATAGGTTCAGTCTTTTTCTCATAAAAATTTAATGGCCTGTTTTTCAGCACCTTGCATCCCTGCCTAGGATTTGCTGCCCTTCCTGCAAAGGACTTACATTTTCCACTACACATACACTTAAAAAGTGTATCCTAATATAATACCTGAGTGGTCTGTGAGTCAGCTTCTCGCTTTATGGACCCTCCTACCCCTCAGGGGGGCTACTGGCCCCACATTCAGACCTGTTATTACTGGGGGGGTGACCCCATCCTCCCCATCCATATTTCTGGGGCTCTACCCGCTACTGGACCATAATAATGGACGTGTGACACCATTGTGGGCTGGGTGACCCCCTCCCTCTGGCAACATGGCTACCTATGAGTACCCTGCTGGCTCTATGGCGTCCTGTAAGATTAATGCTGAGGGTGACCCCTTCCTGCTTTCTATACTAATGCTCCGGCAATGTCCTGCTATTATCATACCGAGGGGGTACCCCTCCTGCAGTCTGCACTGCTGGACCTGCAGCGTCCGGGTATTCCCATAAAAGAGGGTACCCCTCCCACTGATTGAGCTTCTGTTCTTACAGTGCCCGGCAATACGCAGATACTGAGGGTGACCCCCTCCTGTGGACTACTCTGCTGGACCTACAGGGTCCCGTTATAACCATAATGAGGGTGACCCCCTCTCGCTGACTACACTGCTGGGTGTACAGACCTCTATGATACCACACTGAGGGTGACCCCCTCTTACCTACAGCACTGCTGGATCGGCAATGCCCGGTTCTGGTTATATGAGGGTGACCCCCTCCTGCTGTCTACACTGCTGGACCGGCAATGTCTGGTTACTTTATTATACGGCTAACCACTATGGCACTACTGTACCTACAGTGTCCGATTTATGTTCAAACTGAGGGTGACCCCCTCCCCTGCTGGCCTATACTGCATGGTATGCTTGTGCTTGTTGGGTGACCCCCTCTTGCACGCTGGGTGACCCCCAGCTGGCCGCACCACTGTACCTACAGTGTCCGATTATGATCAGACTGAGGGTGACCCCCTCCCCTGCAGGCCTATACTGCATGGTATGCTTGTGCTTGTTGGGTGACCCCCTCTTGCACGCTGGGTGACCCCCAGCTGGCCGCACAAGGTATCATTCCGACAGTGTTACCTCTATGGCAGTTGTGCAATCACGGCTGAAGGACAAATCTCTCGTACCCAGAAGGTCACTTGGCCTGTCCTCTTGCCGCCCCGCTGACCTCACCGCCAGAAACCATCGGTACCCTACGGGGACACTCCACCGGCCATCCTAGACGCTACACCAAGCACCCCTGGTACTCGTTGGCTAACGGGTGGATTCATCAAGAGGATCAGTCTTCATGATGGAGTCCGGAAAGGACACCGCAAACACCTGACACGGGGTTTGCACTCTATCTGGGACTAACCAGTGGATGTCGGTGACACGCGGACACAGATGTTTCCTCGGGACGAACGGCGCATTACCGCTTGGAAAGCGGAGAAGACTAAGTTCCCACTGGGAATGGACCGATATGTCTTATAGGTATCGCCTAGTTGGTTTCTACCCCTGAGAACCGCAAAACGGCCCCTGTCCAAGCTGGACATCAAACTGAAGGATTTAGCATCCAAGTGCTGGGTCTGCTCTCCGGAGTTACCCTAGTGTACAAATTGAGCTGACACGTCTCTATTCATAGGGTTCCCCCTTAACTAACCCCAGAGGTCTCTCCGACCGTGCCTGGACTCCAGATCAAGGTTGCGGAACCTTGGACCGTTCCATGAGCGATACGCATGACCAAAAGAGGCATCCATTCCGACTAATTCCGCAGTTGCCCTGCTGGGCAAAGGGTGCGGTGGAGTGGACTCCCGCCCCATCCCCACGCTACATGCTCCCAGTGCATATGTCGTCTGTTGACACATTTTGAGACGGAGGGCACTCATCCCCTCTGAGAGCTGCTTGGCGTTGACGATTGGTTCTCTCCCTCAAATGCACATGAGAGAAACCCGCATGGATTTTGCCATCAACATGGACATATTGAATCTGACTCACTCCCAGTCAACCCAGTTTCCGGTCTTTCATGGAATATTCGGTCCAGGCGGTGCTCCACCTCCCGAGGACCAAGATGTCCATCTTCAAGGAAAATACCAGGTATATGCTCTGCAACCCGCGGGGTTACACTTAGGGGCCCAAACCGGTTAATTGACCGGTGCCTATTCGCCATGGAAGCCATACCTCCAGGATCCGGTACTATCAGCCGCTCCAACATGGCGCTTTCTCGGGTCTTCGGCCTGGTATGACCAAATCATGTGACCTTCGGATGAAGCTCATCTAAAACTTAATTGATGACTCCGGAGGAGGGACTCCTTTACGCCAACTGCATGGAACCACCTGCAGGTTTGTTCAACATTCACAGTATTGCTCGCTACCTTCTGGCATGGACTTCTCACCGGTTGCCCACTACGGACTGCAGTCGGATCTCACATAGGATCGCTATCTATAGCTTCTGGACAAGTATTCGTCATTTGTGACAGAATGTATACGGGACGAGACACTCGTGTGGCGGACGGCTTCACCCGACCATGGAGAGACCCCAATGATTGGTTGCCTCACCCTCCAGGGTCTCGAGTACTGGCATGATTACATTCGGTGCAAACCGCCATACGGAGCGGTTCTCCCTCAGCGAGGCGAGGGACGAGTTTTCCAAGCTTGGTCTCCTTCGGGGCGTACGCATCCCGTTTACCTACAGGATACTTTGGGTTTTGCTTCAGGCCGAATTCCTGGTGTGTCGTTTCGCCTGGCCAAACCACTTCGGAGGAGTCCTGCGTGCTTTCCCCTTTTTGCTGGAGTTTGCCATGGGAAGGCAATCTACGACTCCCTGTCTCTTAATGTCCTATGTGGGATCCACAGGGGTAGCCTGCCACGACTGGTGTTTGGGTCCCAATGGCGGTCCTTATCATGGCTGTCCCCATTGTCTGGCTGAGTTGCCCTCTCAGGGTAGAATCGTATGGGGCCATTCACGTCCTATGTCAGCTAGTGGACGACTCATGTGCATTTTCTCAAGATTCTGGCATTGCTAAGGATCTCTTGGTCTGCAGTCTACCAAGAGGAGTATACCGTACGGGAGCCCTATCTCTCACTATTCCTCAAGTCTAGTGGTATCGTATGTTCTGCATTTCATTGAGGAATGACCTGATGACAAGGTGCACCATTTTTTCCCGCTTACGGTTTCCCCCCAGTACATCTTGTATTTCATCGTGTTCTGACGTCATGGTATCGACGTGTCTTCTTCCTTCTTGCCGTTCAGTACATCGGCTTCTGCTCCACACATATTTCATTTTTATTCGTCCTCTGTGTCGTACCCCTATTCTCCGGATAGGCCATGGCTCTGACAGATTGTACACGACCATGTAGATCCAGGATCTGGTTCTTTCGTCCGTCTACTCATGGACAGCTGTTTATTTCTGCGTACGGCCGTTTTGGACTGTTTCTGCATCTTCGCTCGCCCGTTGGATTTGGTGGATCCTCTCATTGACTGACCTTGAGTTCCTCTGGGACACTTTTGGTTCGGGGTGGTGTCACCTCAACAATTTTGGAAGCCGTTGGGTCCCTTCTGCCTTTTCTCTACACCGCTGCTTGGTTTAGGGAATCCGTTTTTCCATTCTCCTTTATTTCAGTCCTCTCTCATATTGCTTCTGGTTCTACTATTTGGGCGTTAAAATTGCAAATATGAAGCCTCCTGTCCTGCCATAAAATTAGGGATTATTCTAGCCTCGGCGAGGGAATAATCTAAATTTTATTAAAGACAGGAGGCGAATATTTCCCCCCCTTTTTTTACGTTCCCTCCCTGGATCTGGGTTTTATTCTATTATAAATAATTGGAGATATCGTTATGTTTTGTGAATGCATGGTTTTACATAATAAAGGTTATTTCTAATATTCAGTGATGGTTGTCCGTGTGCGTTTTATTCATCATGTTTGTGTTGTAATTATGTTTCGTCAATGCCTTTTTAGCTTAGGTACATACTAGGTCTTCATAAGATCTGTAGACTTTGTTTATTCATCAGGTATTCTGATGTGAAAGTGATATTGTATGGATATGACATCTTGCCTTGACAGTTTACTTTCACAATGTTTTCTGCTTTCTTGCAGTGTAATCTGTTCTCTCTCTGGGCTTGACGATTGTTTCTCCGGATGTGTCTGCTACAAGGTGGATTCGTTGGTTTCCTTGCTCTCCTGCTCGACCTCATCAAAGAAAGAGGAAGTGGAAGAGCCTGCTTAGGGGTTTTATACTACTGTTGCTTTGTTCTGATTGGTTGTTTTGAAAAGTTCTGTTAACTGTTTCTTTGCTGCTGGAGGTTTCAGTAAAGAAGGTAAAGCAAATATTCGCCTCCTGTCTTTAATAAAATTTAGATTATTCCCTCGCCGAGGCTAGAATAATCCCTAATGTTCATGGATTAGTTTAGTAAAGAGAACGGAACAATTTTATGTCAGACCAGTTTAGAAAAGTTTCCTTATTAGTTGAAGGATTATTAAAAAAAAAAAAAAAAATCCACGCCTTACTTTAAAGGAACACTATAGTCACCTAAATTACTTTAGCTAAATAAAGCAGTTTTAGTGTATAGATCATTCCCCTGCAATTTCACTGCTCAATTCACTGTCATTGAGTTAAATCACTTTGTTTCTGTTTATGCAGCCCTAGCCACACCTCCCCTGGCTATGATTGACAGAGCCTGCATGAAAAAAAAAACTGGTTTCACTTTCAAACAGATGTAATTTACTTTAAATAATTGTATCTCAATCTCTAAATTGAACTTTGATCACATACAGGAGGCTCTTGTAGGGTCTAGCAAGCTATTAGCATAGCAGGGGATAAGAAAATCTTAATTAAACAGAACTTGCAATAAAGAAAGCCTAAATAGGGCTCTCTTTACAGGAAGTGTTTATAGAAGGCTGCGCAAGTCACATGCAGGAAGGTGTGACTAGGGTTCATAAACAAAGGGATTTAACTCCTAAATGGCAGAGGATTGAGCAGTGAGGTTGCAGGAGCATGTTCTATACACCAAAACTGCTTCATTAAGCTAAAGTTGTTTAGGTGACTATAGTGTCCCTTTAATTGTAAAGTTTATTAGAACAACTTTGAAAATCACACATTATTGATTGCAGTGTCCTGTTTATTTTTTTTGACGCACATAAAATTAGAGTGCTAAAATTGTAATCCTTTGATTTATGTGTTTTTAACAAAATAAACATTTTTAGTTGGAGATAAATCAAACCACGAATCTCACACAAACCCATAAAAGTTGATAACGTTTAGATTCAAGCACTATTATAAAATAAACACCACATTTAACAGTTGTACATTATTACTCTTATTAAGACAGTCATTTGGCATGTGATGAAGTGAGGGTATATACTTTGTATACTACTGTTTTTAGGACAGTAAGACTTTGAAGTGAGGGAAAACTGAATCAGACATATGTTTAACTCTCATCTTGTAGCAACACGATAGTCCAAGACAGCTGAACAAAAACTTTTTTTTTTTTTCTTGACAATATTTCTGGAAAAAAGTTTCTTTAACAAAACATACAAATTTTTAATTGAGAAAGAAGAAAATAAAAATATATTAAAAGACAAGGAAATAAACATTTTAGAATGTCTAATTTAAAGTATTTGTTGGCACAGAATCAAACAAAATAAGGGAGATGTTGTATTAAGTGACATAATATCCTGTATCAACAAGTCACCCTGCAGGCACTAGAATGTACACCAGAGCTTCAATTGTCATACAAAGTAAAAATACAATCAACAAAGAAATAAAGTAAACATTTAAGAATCTCACATTTAAAGTGTTTGTCAGTACAGAATCAAACAAATGAGGTTGTATTAGGTGACAATATCTTGCATATGAGGTATTAAAATGTATTTGCATATAATAACAGAAAAAAACAACTGGGGTTTAAAGGTCAGAGGGCAGACACTATAAACTGTATGCAGGTGGGATAGGGTGGAAGAGCACATCTTTAGATAAAGAGAAAAGGTGCCAGGGCCATCACTGAACTCTCTGGGGATCACCTCCCCAAGTTGTGCGTTTTGTGCATATACTCCAAACAGGGCATCCACATAAAGCGCATTACTTCACCGCCCGGGAAAGCCAGATATGCAATCTCCACCATGGACTGCCTCTATCTAGAGATAGAATCAAAACTTGCAGGGAGAGAAAAAAACCCTGCCAAGTACCATTCCAGCTAATAAACAGTTTAGAGAGAACTCCATTGACTCATACACAGGCCACTACTGAACACCTACCAACTAAGAAGTGAAACCCTTGACCCTGCCACGACAGAAAATGATACGTATACAAACAAAAGTATTAATAAGCTGAGCAACCGCTGGTAGATGAGGAAATAGGGAAGATATGAAATAATCATTTAGGTGTAGAAACCTCAAATTTGGGGCTTCTCTGTTTTAGTCCCTTTAGAGTTTAAGAGTACAAAGAGAGGAATGTATCTAATACATGATGCGAGATATATGCATCAAGAAAAGGGGTTGCAAAATAGCCAACAAAAGGCCTGCTGTCTAGGCCAGACAGAACCACTAAAATGAACAAAAAATAATAAAGATTTATTGAACACTACAAAAATATGTCCCAAATGTGTGCTACCAAATAAACACCAAAAAATAAAATAAAATAAAAATATATATAAAAATAAGTCGTTAAATATAATAAAAACAAAATATAATTGCAGATCAAAATATGAGAAACTATTGCTATCGGTAGTGACTGGTAATTAGTCAGGCTAGAAAAGCAGAGTGCCGATCTGATGGATCAATGATCAGTAGTGTGGTCTGGTACTATAGAAACCAAAATTAGGCTTGTAGATCGATATAGGTCCTATCAATAAGAAAATGTGACACAATCTATAAAGCTGTTCCTGTCCATAGTGGCTAATAGTGTGCCATACATTCAAAAATCCTGGTGGCTCAACAATAAATCTCCTCTCTGACGAGCTAGGTGTAGCGAAACGCGCGCGTCAGAGGACTGTGGTGTGCTGCACTCCTTGGATCCTTAGGGCAGCACACAGACTAGCGACCGCGCTGTTTTCATTCCATATTTCTATTTAAACATATATAGCGTCTATCTTTATTTTTGCAGATCCTATATTTTTTATATAGCTTTATCTTGACAAATAGATCTTTTGGGGGGTTGGAGCTAGGTGCCCTCGAAGGCACGGGACACATATTCATATAGAGGGTGTTACCTTTTATCATACTGTTATCAACTGTTTGTATCACTGGACGTTCCTTGTATATGACACTTTGTAGCATGGTTTATTGCTACTTGATTTATACATGTGTCTTTTGTTCTACTCTCTCCCTCCTAGATATTCTCATGTATGCTTTACTGTCGGTATAGTGATTCCTATTTGTTGCCGTTCTATATATCCTCTATATACACTCTTTATATCTAGTCAATTAGTGGCATCCTTTTATTTGGATTACCACTCTAGCCACTTCAATACTGGTTTGAATATCAGCTCAACGTTTATTTAATGTTCTTATTTTTCTTTCATTTACCAATATTTATGGTTTCATTAGTTTATTAAATAAATGTCTCATGTATTTAAAGGACCTATATAGTCCTATAGCATTTTTTGACATTTAAAGCAACAGACTTTATAATTTATTGTTGAGCCACCAGGATTTTTGAATGTATGGCACACTATTAGCCACTATGGACAGGAACAGCTTTATAGATTGTGTCACATTTTCTTATTGATCTACAAGCCTAATTTTGGTTTCCATAGTACCAGACCACACTACTGATCATTGATCCATCAGATCGGCACTCTGCTTTTCTAGCCTGACTAATTACCAGTCACTACCGATAGCAATAGTTTCTCATATTTTGATCTGCAATTATATTTTGTTTTTATTATATTTAACGACTTATTTTTCTATATATATATTTTTTTATTTTATTTTTTGGTGTTTATTTGGTAGCACACATTTGGGACATATTTTTGTAGTGTTCAATAAATCTTTATTATTTTTTGTTCATTTTAGTGGTTCTGTCTGGCCTAGACAGCAGGCCTTTTGTTGGCTATTTTGCAACCCCTTTTCTTGATGCATATATCTCGCATCATGTATTAGATACATTCCTCTCTTTGTACTCTTCGTTTTCTACTAGGGGTTACCCCCCCATTTCTACTGTGTATCTAATTTGGCTCCACTCACTCATTGTTCTTTAGAGTTTAAGCCTCTATCTGAAATAATTAAATACATAAAAAGGTAAATCATTTTTTTATATGTATTTAAAGCTGGCTTAGCTGCCTATTAATAATAATAATTATTACACAAGTGCAAATTAACTCAAGGTACAATATTGTGTACAATTTTAAAAATATATATTATTTAAGATGATTTTAAGCTACTCAAGTGATCTTTGTACTTCTCAAACAACATTCCTGCATTGGGATGAGACGTACAACGATACAAATGCTCCCAGGAAACCAGGAGTCTATAAGGGCTTTATTACAATCTTGTTTCTACAGGGTGGGTGAAAATTTAGGGTAAGGTTGAACAGTCAATATTTTATTAATTAACCAAGTTCAATGATATTGCATACAATGAATGCTTAATGTATAGAGATTTGTTTGACTGTACGGAAGATGACATCTTTTAAATGAGCTCCTTTTGCTGCATCGCAAAGTCAGGCTCTTTCAATTGCATTGTTCATAACCTTAGTTAATGTTTGCTGCTCTAGTGCTCGAATTTCTGCTGGTAACTTCCTGCAAGGCCACTCACCTCCAGAAGGTGCATTTGAAAGGGTGCAATTGGTGCTGATGAATTATCCGTGTATTTTCTATATCCAAGAAAAGACAGTTTTGCTTATTGACGAAGCCATTTAAATGAAAGCTTATACTTCGCAACTGGTTTCCGACCATGTTACTTCTGATTATCAGCTGCTGCTACCAGCCTCTTCACTAGTGCAAAAAAGGTAATAAAAGCTAACTCCTTATACATGTTATGGGAAAAATACATGTATGGAATTACTCAAGGAGGCGTGAAGAGTGTTGTTGGGTGTTGGCAAAATGCATCTTTGCTGTGTAGCCAAATATCCTTGCACCGGGACTGGGTAGAAATAAAGGTCTAGATAATAATTGCACATATGCCTAATGTAAATGATTTAAAAAATATATTACACATCATTTCATAATATGACACTTTGTAACTGGCCTAGTAAAAAGCAGTATTGCATAAAAACATGACTCTACAAACAGACATTAAGAACTTGTTACACCAGGGATTTCCTCATTATCCGTAGACTTTCCTTCTAATTGTAATCGTTTGTAGTCCGTATGAAAGAAGATGACAAAGACACAAGATCCCAAGCTGCCCAAGCCAGCCATAACCAATGTGGAAACTGTTGGAAAATACACAAAAACAGCATTCTTTAGATTAACTGGTAACTTTCTCAGAATCCTATTCTATAAATATATTGTAACAAGCTCATAGCCTCTTTATCACTAAATAAGGTCATTCTGGAATATGATTAGGCCCTGTTTGCATAGAACTTGGAAGCTCCACCTTGTCTTGCTTTTTGTGGGGTACATATTTAAAGTGGCACTGTCATGCCGAACTTACCTTTCACCAATCGATTCCTCTTCTCTCCCTCTGTCAGGATCTGTTCTTCATTTCTTCCTATCTGCTCTAGTTTTCTTTAAAACATAAGATAAAGTAGGGACTACTTTGTCTTATGGAGGTTTCCTAAGCCTGACCAGCTATGACCAGCAGAGGAGCAAAGTGTGCTTCATTTCTGGTGGTCAGAGCAATTTTCCCACAATTCTCACCTTTAATCCGTGATCTTGCGATGCTTCCTGTCAGTATTTCCGAATGTCCTGTCATTTAGACAGAACGCCGGCCAAACTACCGAATTTCGATCTAACAGAATGAGAACAGTTTGTTCATCTTTGTTAGGATGCATTTCGGGACTTTGCTCAGATCGTAATTTCATTCGAATGTCCTCCCTCCCGGCCCCCACCCCTGAGAGGTGGGTGCCCTAAATGACTTTGGACTTTGAAAATAAAATAAAAAACCCAAGCGCAAAAAAAAAATTAAAATACGACAAAAAGAAAAAAACCTGACACTAAAAAAATTATCCATCTTCACCCATGGAGGGCACCACACAGACTGAGCTCCGCATGGGCGGGGAAAGGCTCAGCCAATCTTATGGGGAAGCACTACTGGATCAGACTACCACTTCTGATGATGTCAGCAGACTATTTTTTCTTTTTTTTTAGGCAAACCGCATGTAGAGTTACAGCTTCTGGCTTGAATACAGTAAGATTTTAACTATATTTATGGAGGCATGAGAGGCCCAGGGGGGCTAGATAGTGGTGTTAACACTATAGGGTCAGGAATACATGTTTGTGTTCCTGACCCTATAGTGTTCCTTTAAGGTTTTATATATTAAAATCTTAGTTGTACCAAGCTTATGACGTAGTTTAAAAAAAAAGGGGAAAATATATATGTTTAACATGGGCTCGATGGGTATTTTCTTTTTCAGTGTTAGCAATTTTGTACCCTAATTTTTCAACTCCTTTGCCAACTCAACATAACTCATTATGCAGGAATTATATACCTAAATCATATAGTCTGCATACATAAAATACAAAATAAAAAAACATCTAACAACATTATTATAAAGCAGTACCACCATGTCTGGTTTGCCCTTGTTATAGTTACATAGGTTAGGCTGAAAAGAGACATGCGTCCATAAAGATGTGATTGTTAATATTTCCTATTACACAAATGTCTATCTTTCGGTGTTCACATTGATAATAAAAAAAAGCAGTTCCTGCTACACCTTGCCTTATTTTATTGGATTTTATTTTTTGTTTTGTTTTTTTTATAAATATTTTTGCTTTATCATAAAAATAAGTCTTATAATAAAGGCATCAAAGTATCTAGGAAACAGCAACTAAAATCTCCCCAGGGGAATCACAAGTACTTGTATAAAAAATGCCCTGAGACATATGCCCACCTCTTTCAGGGCCCTGTTCGTTATATTCTGAAATGTGTTAATGCGTATATGCTTTCATGTTTATAGCTCCAATCATAAAACAGCTATAGGTACCCTTGGCTAGGTCAGTTTGATTTACTATCTGCTTGGGCAGCGGAGTGTCAATTTAAAATTTCCCTTTGTCGTCAATAGTTAAATAACCAGCACTGAAATGAGTACCACTTGCAATTCAATGAATAGACCCTAAAGTAGAATGAAATAAATTAAATTTAAACTTCTATTAAACATGCCTGTATAATCGTTCTGTAGAATAAACACATACATGTTTTGAAGTGGATGTTAATAACTTACCTGACCAGTCAGATATCTCAATCTGGCCCTCACCACATGAAGATAATGAAGAGGCAGCAACTGTTCTGGTGAGGCTTTGTAAGAGCAGCATGTAGATCAAGCTCTGGATCTGACTAGTTTGGGAATAAAACATATTTCAGTCACTCCACATTGCTGCACTATGCTTGTTTAACCACTAGCTTTGCATATATGAGACAAT